TCGCCCTTCCATCCTCTATTCTCTTTTGACTTAAGCTATTCCTAATTTCAACATCTCGTTCAATTTTTAATTCTCTAAAATTATTAAACTTAACTTTAATCTTTATCTTATGCAATACCCTCCTTGACACCATAGGATTATCGATCATGGTAGGTGATATGACATTTTCCTCCTTCGACGGTATTTTCATCTTCACCTCGAACATATAATTTTCTTCTTCATCATCTATCGAAGCTGTATCCGAGTCATCGTCATTCATAACATTCGCGCTTGAAGGACTTGACAACGACAATTTCTTGACTTCTGCTCCATTAATTTTCTGCAATGCCACTTTTCGTTTGATTACCATTGGAACTTCATCTGAATCTGTTTTGAAGATTTGATGTTGTTCTTCGATACAACCTATAACCTCTTTAATGAATAGTCCTGGTTTTGGGAATAGAATCATTATAGTCATCCTTATCGTGGAATTTAGGTCATAAGAAGATTGGTCTAATATCGATTGTACTGGTTCATAGAGGGCCTTCCTCTTTCTTACTATCGTCTCGAAACCATGTGAGCTCTTTTTCTCGCTCGGTAGACTCCAACGGACTATGGGAACCTCAACCTGAACATTTTTCAGCACTTGATGATTCGGGCTCACAAATTTTTTTGATTGCGTGTAGACCTCAGCCACGATGAAGTATTTGATGCTACCATTTCTCATGCCCAAGAAATTTTTGGAGGTTTTGAAGGAGGTAGGCATTTCGTCATCAAGCTTGAACTCAAATCGAACATCCAAGTTTGAAACCTCTGTAGCCTTTGGCAACGAGGAAGTTCGTTGAGCAGGACAACTTAGCCATGCAAGTTTGGTTTTTTTATAAAATAAATTGCGTTCGTTTTTTGGGTTGTTTCTGTCATCATCTTGGTTGATGCACTTTCGGATGCCTGTTCTGTAGGATTCCACTCCTATTAGAGATATTTGAATTCTGTAAACCAACAGGGGGGATCCGACGGGAGATCGAATGTGCAGGAACCCAGAAATTTTTGAAGGACCAATACCAAGGTATCCCGACTGAAA